TATAGGTGCACACCACCACACCCAGCTAATTTTTTGAAAATTATTTTTTGTAGAGACAAGGTTTTGCTATGTTACCTGGCTGGTCTTAAACTCCTGGCCTCAAGTAATCCTCCTACCTTAGCCTCCTAAAGTGTTGGGATTATAGACATGAGCCACTGCACCTGGCCTATAGGTTTATTTGGACTCATTTCACATTTTGAACAGAAGTCCTTCCTTGTGCTATTCCTTCCTTGCATCCACCAGGAGGTTGAAACATCAGGCTGCCCTGTTTTCTTGGTGTTAACGTTGACTGTAGGTTCAGAGGATGCTGCCTGGTTCTTTCATCGCCAAGTTTCCTATCAGCCTTTCACCTGGTTTTATCATCCATAGCCACGTCATCATTTGTATTAGGAGTTGTAAAATGATCGCTCTTAATTACATTATTCTATCTCCATTTATTAATGGCACTTCTGTAAACTAGAACTTTCCCTTGTCAGTTATGAAGTTTCCTTGAAATAGTATAGATGAAGAAACTGAGGCTCCAAGGGAACTCATGTGCCCAAACTACAAGTGGTGGAGTCTGGTGGGAATCCTGTCAGGTAACTTCAGAGCCAGAGCTTGGTTATGCTGCTTTAAGACTCTGCCCAAAGCCCCCACCATACAGAAGCCTTCCCTGCCCCTCTTCCCAGCCTTGCCAAGCCAATTGGTGCTTGCTCTGGGCTCCTGTAGTGCTGGACATTGTCCTTGCAGTGCAGGGACATTAGGCCTCCCTGTTGAGCAGAGCAGGTATGAGGAAGAACTGGGAGTACCTCAAGGCTGTGGAGCTCAGAGACCTCAGAACATGGTTGTTAGATAATTCCAGCATCTTCCCTCAGGGCCCTCTGCTGTGTCCCTGGCAGAAGTTTAACATTTGGTCAATTATGGGGTCCTGCTGGAGAAGCTAGAATTCTGAGTCTCATCCTTGCATCCCCTTGTCTTGGGGTACGTGGACTGCATTGGAAGAGGGGAGGCATGGAGCCTTTCCCAGGAGAGCAGAGAGGCTACACCAGACAGAATCACCCTGCCTCTCCAAGTTCCGGGGTTGTGCCAGGCCAGTGTCCTGCTTGCTGTGGGACCTGGGCAGGTAGGAGCATCTTCCCAGGTAGCTGTGTGTACTGGGTGTGAAGGGTCAAAGCCCACTGTCCACGCCTTCTCCCCTGGCACCAGCACTCACAGTGAGCAGTTCACAGGGCCTAGCCTTGTGGAAACTGGCCCCTTGAGTACATCTAGCTGATCCTGCTGCCATGGGGCCAGGGAACAAGACAGCTCCAGTCTCAAGGCACCCCCTGTACCCACCTCTCTTGGGTGTCAGGGGCCAGTGTAAGTGAGCCAGAATACTGCTTTAAGTGTTCTGAGGGATAGCATGAAAACTCTCGAGTTGTTTGGTGCCACGGAAGGGGCTGTAACAGGTCCGCATGATTTTCCTCATCTACATGTGGATAATGTTACTTCCTTCTAAGCTGCTGTAAGAAAACACACGAGATGAGGTTTGGAGAGATGCTCAGTAAACCTCGAAGACTGAGGGTGAATTAAGTAGTTTGCCCATCACAGGACCCCAGCGCAGACACGCGCCTGCATGGGTCAGGCTGCACAGGCACTCCCAGCCATGGTGGCTTCCCCTCCATCCTGGGGGACCTGTCTCCTCTTTCCATAGAAGAGTCTGGAGGCCATGGGAGGACAGGCATGGCCTTGTCCTGTTAGTAGACTCTGGAGTGGATGAGCAACTCATCCAGGACCCCCCGACTTGTAGGGTGCGGGGAAGACAGCATGTTTATAGGACCTGGCTTTGAGTCCTGGCTCTGATCTGGGGTATGTTGCCCACGTCTGGGTGCATTTCTTCTTGTGAACAAAACAGCCTGCATAAAGAATGTGAGGGAGCTCTGTGAATTCTGAGTGGGCATGCAAATGTGTGAGCAAAGCTCCAGGAGGAAGCTGGTAGGAGCCTCTGCCCAGATCCCAGCCCTGGCGAAGTCTGTTCTCTAGGATTGCCCCCTGTTGGGGAGTATACATAAGCAGGAGGGCTTCTGAACACTGCCTGCAGTCAAGACCAAAACAGCCTTTGACATTCCCTGTCCCTAGCTTGGAAGGTGAAGATTCAGGAGGATTTGTACTTCCTCTGCCCCCTGCTACAATTTCCCATGTTTATTCCTTTAATTTGGGATGATAGACCAAGATGATGATTTACAACCCAGATCTTTTTCAAGAAATATTTCTGGCACTGGTTTTCAATTTTGCAACCATACTTACAGGAGCTATTCTTAGACTTGTCACTGTGTCTCTTTTTCAAAGCTTGCCATCAGTCTTTATATAGACACCTTCTCCATTTTTGAGTTTCTTTATATAGATGTCTTCTCCATTTTTGAGTTTTTAATCTAGATTTGTCTCTTGGTCGGTGTGTTAGAGATCCTTTTCATGGGGGAAAATAGAAATGTAAAGGGCTGTCCTAAGGTACATACAGCTAAGAGCCGATGTGGTATAGATGGTGGCAGGATAAGCTGGTGATATTGGAGAGAAGCCAGGACACAGGCAGGCAGGGTGGGTAGACAGCGGGCAAAGAAGCTTCTTCATCGCAGGACCAGGCTGCAGGCTGCCACACCCTGGGAGCAAAGGGATACCTCCTGTTAGTGTCAGTATATTCTAACTTGAATATCAGCTTACAAACTCGGAAGGGACTGTGAGAGGCATCAGGCTGACCTTGGGGTTCAGGCCTGGATGATCAGGGTTTGGGGTTTGGCCATTTTCCGAGTCAGGCAGTTCCCTGCAGGGCCCAGGGAACTGGTGATGGGTACATAGCTGGTTGGTAGTAGGGTTGGCCAGGCTCTTTCCACGTGCCCACACTCTGCGTCTTTTGAAACTGTCAGATGTTTCTTTGGTGGCATTGCTCATTATTGCCAGAGTTGATGATTTGGTCATAGTTGTTTGCTGGCTGGTATTGACCAGCCTGTTAGCAGGTAACTGTGCTGAAAGGGACGCCCCATCTGGGCTGTAGAGGGAATGTCCAGGCGTCTTGTCATAGTCTTTTTGAGCTGCTATAACAAAATACCATAAACTCAGTGGTTCATTTCTCACAGTTCTAGAGGCTGGGAAGTCCAAGTTCAAGTTGCTGGCAGATTTAGTGTCTTGTGAGGGTCCACTTTTTGCTTTATAGATGATGTCTTCTCACGATGTCCTCATGTGGTGGAAGGGGCACAGCAACTTTCTGAGGTCCCTTTTATAAGGGCATTAATTCCATTCATGAGGGCCTCACCCTCTTGACCCAATCACCTCCTGAAGGCCCCGCCTCCTTATACAATCATCTTGGGAGTTAGGTTTCAACATAGAGATTTTAGGAGGACACAGACATTCAAACCATAGCACCTCCTGAGAGCATGCTGGGTGATCCCAATAGAGTGGGCTCACTCCTTGAAAGTGGCTCCAGCTCCTTTGGCCCCTGTTTGTAGCCTTCAGAGGATAACCCTAACAGTGACTCTTCTTGGAGCAATATCTGAGTTACTTTTCTCGCATTATCATTATTTATTTATTTATTTATTTAGAGAAATGGAATCTGGCTCTGTTGCCCAGGCTGGAGTGCAGTGGTGTGATCATAGCACACTGCAGCCTTGAACTTCTGGGCCCAAGCAATCCTCCTCAGCCTCCCAAGTAGGAAGGACTACAGGCTTGTGTCAGCATGCTTGACTCTGGGTTATTTTTCAATGTGAAGTAGTTGATTTGTACCCAGGGATACTGAAGTCACCACCAGGGAAGCTCAGGACTTCCGTGAGAGCCTATCGGTGACCTCCAATGCCTTCCTGTGTCCTACACACCTGGCTTTACTTCTCCCTGGAGTTTTCCTTCATGACAGTTTCCCGAACTCTTTGGGCTATTCTTTGTTTCTCTGGGAGGTGCCACAAATCCTTTGGGAAGTAAGCGCTGATACTCAATAGACAATGAAGTTAAGTAGCATAAACATCCTGGGTGCGAGGGATCCAAAGGTAGAAATGAGGTCTTGCCTCAAAGAGTAGGTAGGAGCCACGATGGGCCCATGTGTTACATACAGCAGGAAGGGCACAGAAATGGGGAGAAGCTTCTGATTAGACAGAGTTTGTGGGGTGGGCTTTTAGGAAGGGGGAACATGAGCTGAGCTAAAAGGTGAGAAGTTTGAAGGTGCACACATTGGGGAAGAGCCTCAAAGTCGGCACAGCCGGTTGGTGAGTAGTGGGTCAGCTGAAGCGGGGGAGAAACGGCAAAGAATAAACATAAGCCCTTTGGGGAGCCCTCAGCAGTAAGGTGTTTGTATCCAGCAGGAATGCCTGTGGTGAGTGCCTGTGTTGTGGACAGAACAGAACCTCTGCCCTCAGGGAGCCCGCATTCTAGCTGGGGAGGAGGGCAGGAAGACAATACACAAATATATGGTAAATGTAGTAAGTCAGATGTAATGAGTGCTCTGGGGAAAAATGAAACAAAACAAAGGACTCAGGAGAGTCTGGGGGAGGAGGGCTTGACATGTTTGAGTAGTGCTCAAGGACGAGACCTAAAGGATGGGTGGGAGGGAGCTAGCTGTGTGGCTGGGCAGAGACCGCCAGTGCAAAGGCCTCGTGGTAAGAGCGGGCTTGGTATGTTCAAGGAGCAGCAAAGAGGCCAGTGGGGCTGGAGCTGAGGATTGAGGTGGGAATTGTAGGAGCTGAGATGAGATCAGAGAGGCTGATTGTGTGGGCTGTTGTAAACGTGTCAGCTTTTACTCTGAGGGAGCAGGGAGCTATTGGAGAGTTTTGAGCAGAGGAGGGACTAAGCTTCTGCAAGGCTCACAAGACTGCCGAGTGAGGGCTGGTCAGCAAGGGCAAGGGCAGAAGCAGAGAAACTTGTCAGGAGCCTGTTCCGTCAACCCAGAGAAGAGTTTACAAAGGTGGCTGGAATGAGAGTGACGGCAGGGTTTGGGGTGAGACATGGTCAGAAGGTGGATGGAGAGACCCGGAAGAATCTTTCCAACACGATTTCTTCTCTCTAGGCTAGCTCGGCACTTACCGTAAGGGTTTCTCTCAGGGAGCCTCCTGCCGCTGGCACCATGACAGTGAGGGGGGCTGTGCTGGTCCCAGATCCAGTGTCGCCCACGACTGCGGCAGCCTCGCCCAGCGTCTCTGTGATCCCTGAGGGCAGCCCCACTGCCATGGAGCAGCCTGTGTTCCTGATGACAACCGCCGCTCAGGCCATCTCTGGCTTCTTCGTGTGGACGGCTCTGCTCATCACATGCCACCAGGTACCCAAGCCCAATAAGGGACCTCTAGAAGGATCCTGAAGTGTTTCTAGTCCAACAAAGTATGAGTCAGGCTCGGCCAGGTTGTGCTAGAGTGACAGATAAGCCCTGAAATCTCAGCGGCTTCACCTGATAGGAGTTGATTTCTTGCCTACATCCCAGCTCAGCCCAGTGCAGGGTTGGTTCTGTTTTCTTTCCAGCATCACCTATCTGGCTGCTGGGGGCAGGGGATGTGGGGAAGGCTCTCTGGATATTTATCCCACACCCCCATCCCCCCCCATCCAAAGGTGATACTTGGCACTTCTCACCTTCCGTTGGCCAGAACTAGTCACGTGTCCAGCTAAGCTAAGCTATGGGAACTTGGAACTGTAGGTCCCTGTGGGTGGCAGGGACTTCTTTGCCAATGAGAACATGAGAGCCAGAGAGTGAGGAGGGAGAGTAACTAACCTGGTCCCTTGCAAGTCAGTAGCTCAGCTGGGATAGAAGTCAAGTCTCCTGTCTCCCTGTCCTCACAGCACCTGAGGAGGATGGTGTGGGCTAGGACAGCCTTGGTGGCCCATAAAGGAGGTTTGAAGGTGGCCCGATGAAGAGGGGCCGGACAAATCTGCTCAGGTTCCCCTCAGCCCCTTGCCAACTGCCCTGTGTCCCCATCCCTCTTAGAACCCACTTGTATCCAGGGCAATTGACCTGTAGCAGATGGAGAATATTTTGTTCTTTTCCTCCCCAGCCCAGGGCTTGGCTGGGCCGAGTGTGATGTCATGACAGCGGGGACGAGACACTCGGGGGCTGCTGGGACTGAGGACCGTGGTAGAACAGTTCTTGGCATTTGTGTGTAGCTTTTATTTTTTTCCCCTGCTTCCTAAGAGTCGCATTTCATTCTCCGGCTTCCTAGGGAGGCAGGCATTGTGGCCTCTGTTTAACAGATGGGGTAAAGAGGCCCAGTGTGAGAATGTTGCTGCAACCCCTCGCCAGGGAGCATGTCCATCTCCCACAAAATGACAGCCCGCCTGTCTCACCCTCTGCATCATAAGTTAAAGGATGGGGCCGGGTGGGCTCAACCCAGGTGGCAGCGATTTAGCTCAATGCTGCCACTGTCACCCCCAGAGCCAGGCATTTAGGAAGGCAGAGGGGAAGGGGCACACAGGCTGATTGGGCCCAGCATCGTGTGAGGCCTCCAGAGCTTGTTAAAACTGGGGGTTCCCAACCTCATCCTTGATGATTCTGTGGTCCCAGTGTGAGCTCACTGTCCCCTGCATCTGCAAGGCCACCCCTCAGGCACCGCCGCATGCACTCCACAAGCTCTGTGTACCGCTCTGGTCTGAGTCTCACCAAGCCCCAAGCAAGTCTTGTCATCTGCATTTTACACAGCAGGGCTCTGAGGCTTGGGGTAAGTAACTTGCATCATGTCACAGAGGAGGCAGGGGCAAAGCTAGGAGTCCAAATACATTCCTGTTCCCTCAGCCAGGCTCCTCCTCCCGCAGACAGGAGGGTCCCTACTGACCCCACCCCGTCTGCCCCCAGATCTACATGCACCTGCGCTGCTACAGCTGCCCCAACGAGCAGCGCTACATCGTCCGCATCCTCTTCATCGTGCCCATCTACGCCTTTGACTCCTGGCTCAGCCTCCTCTTCTTCACCAACGACCAGTACTACGTGTACTTCGGCACCGTCCGTGACTGCTACGAGGGTGAGGACTGGGGCGGGGTGGGCGGCCTGAGGGAGGGCCGGGGAGTGGGCTACCAGCTGGGAGCCCGGTGGCCACAAGCCTGTCCCTGAGCTCCTCGCTGAGGGACCTTATGAGGACTGGTCTCGATCCGTCCCTCCCTTCTTTACCCACTTCAGAGATTCTGTCCTAAGTTGACAGGTAACAGCATGTTTGTAGCTGGAGCGTTACCCCACAGATACCTGGAAGCAGGACCCCCCCACTTGAGTCTCATTTCTTAATTCTGGCATCTGGGATTGGGGGATGTGCAGCAGGTAATGATCCATTTGTAGATAGAAGCCCAGGTGGCCCCAGGTACTATGGGTAGGAGCCACCCCAGGATCTGCAAGTCCACAGCAGGGCTGGGTCTTCACTTCCACATGTCTTGATCCTAAGTGCTTTATGCTGAGAGGTGCTCCGCTGTGCCACCCAGGAAGGGGACTCCGTTCCTTTCGGGGTCTTGGTTTTGTGTGTGGAGCAGAAAAGTCACCCACCCGCTCGTGTAATGAGCTCCAACCATGGACCAAACTCTGGGTCACAACTCTGCCCTCAGGGAGTCTGTGGCCCCTAAACAGTCACCACAAGGAGACAAGGGGTTGCTCTCATGGGGGAGAAGAGTATCCATGAATCTGGCCAGCAGTGTGCTGTATTGGGGCTAGAGTCAGTGGCTGGAGAAGGCATTGTACAGGGAGGAAGGGCAGAAGCATACACAGTCCTGCAGACTGTACAGAGAAGATTTTCTTTTTTATTGTTGATGCACAAAAATAAGACGGGATTGGAAACTTCGGGTTAGAAAAATCTCTATGTAGAGGGAGTGAGGAGGGAGAGGTCCCTGACCCCATGACAGATCAGAGGCCAGTGATGCCCGGACCTGCCTTCAGACAGGCTAGCAGGAATGGAGAGACCCCTGCTTGATGCGCACCCTCCTCTCAGGGCATGTGGTTTCCTGTCTCCTCTGGTCCCTACACTGCTGGCTTTGGATGAAGTGACCAGATGTGGTTTTCGTCACGCTCAGGCCAAGTAACTCTGGCCACGCCCGGTAGTTGTCTGCTTCCCTGACCTGGGAGGGCTTTACCCCTGGCCTGGCTCTGTAGATACTGGGGTGCAGCATGCTCATCCCCCAAGCAGCTGGAGTCTCTTCCTGTCCCACGTTGAACCTTGTGTATCCTCAACGACTCACAGGGCACAGGAAATACCTTTGGGTTTGGTGAGGAAATGGAGGCGCCTGTCAGGAGCCCATTGCTCCCCTAGCCTTTCATGCCTCCCTGTACCCGCCCTCTGCTGCAGCCATATCAGGCATGCTCCAGCCCTGGGGGCTTGGCACAAGCAGTTTCCTGGTCTGGAAACCTCCCCCCTGCTCCTTCCCATCCATCTGCTCTCCAGCATCTTCTCAGAGAGGCCTTCCCTGCTGCTCTCCTTCCCAGCGCCCTGTCTGGGCCTTCTCTGCTCCCCACGGTTTGCAGTTACCTTGCTTACATTCTGTCTTCCTGAGCAGACCTAGCCCTGCCAGAGCAGGGTGGAGGCAGCCCATGCCTAGACAGAGCCTGGCACATGGGAGGTGCTTACTCTATAACTATTGAATGAATAAGGGACTTTATTAAACACCTGCTGTTTGCCTTGCATTCTTCCACTTGGGGCCTCATTAAATTCCCAGCCATCCTCTTCCCAGGCTGGTATTCATGTCCTGTTATTTCACGTGGAATACTAAGACTGGATGGGGACCTGCTCAGAGTTTACCTGGGTCTCTAGTGTCTGATGTTCCTGAAAGCCATCACGTCCCTAGGGAAACCTCTGGGTACCTGGGGAGCGGTAAAGACTGGAGCTGGGGAAGGGTAATGCTGGGAGTCCTCTTTTATCAGGTGCCAGCCTTGCGTGGGTGCCTGGGAGCAACCTCAGCCCACTAGGTTCCTTCACAAGCAGAAAGCTCTTCCCTGCCACAGGGCCTCCTCTGTGGTCCTGGAGCCAGGGGAGGCTCTCTTCCTGGCTGGGCCCTGAAGGTGGGATGCATGGCAGAAGGTGGGAGGGCACGGTTAGGGGAGCCTCCATTCCACCTTCACTCCACAGAGGCGGCAGCAGATGGTGGGCGGCACCCCCACACCAGAAGCCTCTTTGTTCAGGCCCCGCCTGTCCTGACCTGCCTCCCAGTCCAGGTAAAGGTCTGCCGCCTTGCAAAGCAGTCTCCTAGCAACAGTATTATTTCTTTGGCCTGGCCTCTCCAAGGGAGTTTACAAACAGCACAGCAGCTGCTGTGAAGTTCAGGCTGCCCCCGAGTTCACCAACTTTTAGTGTCTGAGTCAGTGGGCCTGGCTTGCCTTGTCCCTTCCTGCACCCTCGTACTGGGTCCCAGCCGTTCTTGCAGCTGCCCCTGCAGAATTGGTGTTGGAGGAGTGTTCCCCACCACTTTTCTTTTCAGTGTCCCAAGACTTGAGGAGGGCCAGGAGAGAGCAGAACTCTTACTTCAGATCCAGCCAACCCTTACCGAGGGCCAGCTCAGCTGGGCATTGCACAGATATTTGCTTTGCTTTTTTTTTTTTTTGAGTTGGGGTTTCACTCTGTTGCCCAGGCTGGAGTGCAGTGGCACAGTCATGGCTCACCACAGCTTTGAATTCCTGGTCTCAGGCCACCTCAACTTCCTGAATAGTGGGAACTATAGGCAGGTGCCACCACATCCTACAAACTTTTAAATTTTTTTGTAGAGATGAGATCTCACTGTATTGCCCAGGCTGGTCTTGAACTTCTCCGCCTAAGTGATTCTCCCACCTTGGCCTCCCAAAATGCTGAGATTATAGGCATGAGCCACGGTGCCTGGCCTACTTTAAAAAAAAAAAAAGATGAGCCCAGCAGGTCGAGGCTGCGATGTCCGGGAGCGGCCACTGCACTCCAGTCTAGGGACAGAGTGAGACTCCAACTCAAAAACAAAACAAAACAAAACAAACAAACAAACAAACCCTTTACTTTCATTAAAATAATACAGGCATACAGTTGAAACACAAAAGTGCCCTAACTCCTCACTCCTGAGTTCACTGCACTTTTAACTGTTTCTTCTTAGAATAACCTCAAAATATGCTTCTACTGTTGTTTCGTGTCTCAATTTTGTATGGTGTTTCATAATGCCTTCCTGTTATAGAAGTTTTGATCTAGGTATATGTCCTCTCTGTGTGCATACCCACACACATGCTTTTCTTTCCATCTTTTCAGTGTGACTATATCACAATTTAATTTTTTTTGAGTTGGAGTCTCACTCTGTTGCCCATGCTGGAGTGCAATGGCACACTCATGACCACTGCAGCTTCGACCTGCTGGGCTCAGGCAATCCTGCCACCTCAGCCTTCCGAGTAACTGGTACTCCAGGTGTGTGCCACCACACCCAGCTAATTTTTTGGTTTACTGTAGAGACAAGGTCTTGTCAAGTTGCACAGGCTGGTCTCGAACCCCTGGGCTCAGGCAATCTTCTTGCCTCCACCTCCCAAAATGCTGGGATTACAGATGTGAGCCACTGTGCCCAGTTTGTATCACAGTTTTTTGAAGACTGCTTTGTGTTTGCATTGTTATATGTCCATAAATATTGTTCAAAGCTGAGCCTCATAGTATCCCGAGACTACATTTCCTTTTCTTTTTTTTTTTTTGAGTTGGAATCTTACTCTGTCACCCAGACTGGAGTGCAGTGGCCGCTCCCGGC